TGGATAGGTGTCTGGGTGAGCCACAAAGCTACTTTTGACATGATGGAAAAGAGAAAAACCTCTGTACCTGCCTGCAGTCAAACCCCAATTTCTATGTCATGCAGCTTCTATGTTAGTCACTATACAAACTGATCACAGCTCATTTCATTAAATTTGCCCTTCAGAAATCCAAGTTTTTCATTCCTGAGAGTTATGTTGGTTTCATGCAATACACTGTTCAGTTTATCTCCACTGACTTGGCTTGAAATCTGCAATCATTTCAATTTAGCTTCAGCTTTTTGATCAAGTAATCTTAGGCACTCTTCATCAAACCTGATTTAAGCAAATTACTGCCTTATGGGATATGACTTTGCATAGTTTGGTAGACAGATACAAACTGATACCTTCATTTTTAGGATATAAGAGTAAGTATAGCAACAGGCGTGACCAGAGTGGTTTGAACGCCTATTGTACTGCGATGTGGAAAGCAAATGGAAAAACTACCACATTATCACTTTTCCTGGATAGTCTCTTTCCAAAACCAGAGACCATGTATGCGAGATGTTTCATTTGAAGGAGAAAGCTCTAGATCGCATCAAATGGAGGAACTGTTTTGGAAGAGACTGTGGACCTGTCGTCTTGACAGATTACTGATGAATGAATGAAGAGTAAGTTCCAATAAGAAAAAACATCTGTGAAATAGGGAAAGGGGGGCAAGGACCAAGGCTAATAGGTGCAGTGTAAAATGAATAGGATTCTACACCCATAAAAAGGGATGCATTTGCGGATATAATTGAAGAGCAAGCCACTGGGAATGGTGTAAACTGAACAGGAACCTGTGGCCCTAAGAACAGCTGGACCTGTAGAGGGGAGAAGAGGTGAAAGGTAAATTCTAAGTAAAGAAACAATGTATAAAATACAAAGGACATTAAATAAATAACCTAAAATATACATTCTACATAGGGCAGTCAAAAAGTTCCCGGAATTCCCCTGCAGATAGAGAACAAGCGATAAGATAGTGCATACACTGTTGTGGTGGGAAGCGCAGCATGTCTGCTCGGAGGCGCAACAGGTCTGGACAGGTTTCAGTGTGCGGTGTCGTTGCTGTTCCATTTGAATTAGACATGAACGTTCGTCATTCGGCACAATGTCGCAGTTCGAACAGTGTGCAAACATCAAGTTCATGTGCAAATTGGAAAAATCTGCTTCAGAGACGCTATTGGCCCTGCAGCAAGTTTACGGTGATACTGCACTAAAGAAATCTGCAGTTTACGATTTGTCTTTCCTGGTTTAAGAATGGGCAGGAGATGTTAGAGGATGACCAGCACAGCGGGAGACCTTCAACATCCAGAACCGAAGAAATGATTGGAAAAGTGTGACAACTGATTTGATATGATGGAAGAATGATTATCGCGGAGTTGGAACAAGAAGTTGGTACTGTTACTGGCCATTTCTACGTGCAAGTTTTGCAGAGGTTGCACAATGCAGTTCAGAGGGAGTGGTGTGACAAGTGGCAGGGACAGTGGTTTCTGCTTCATGATAACACACCAAGCCACACATCGCTTGTTGTGCAGCAATTCCTCTCCAAGAAAACCATTCCTGTCATCACTCAACCACCGTACTCTCCGGATCTCGTTCCGAGTGACTTTTGGCTGTTCCGTACTCTGAAAATGGGCCTCAAGGGGACATGTTTCGCAACCATGGAGCACATCAAATCGAATGCGACGGCTGAGCTCCAGAAGATTCCAAAAGAAGCCTTCCACCGCTGCTTCCAACAATGGCAGGATTGATGGAGCAAGTGTGTGTGCGCGCAAGGGTCCTACTATGAAGGTGATTAGGTAAGCTTTGCCATATGTCCTACCATTAGAGTGCTATACCACCATTCCAGGAACTTTTTGACTGCCCCTCATACAATTAATAAAATAAATGGTGAAAAAGTAGGAGTGGAAAGAATGAGGACAAAATCAAAATTAAAATACAAAAACAGAAACAAGACAAAAAAAATAAATCCTGGGCCGCTGCTCAATCTGTCACCTCCATATGATCCAGTCGATATATCTGGAGCTGAAGGAAAGGATGCTGGTATTCAGGAGTCAGACGCAGTGTTCCAAGGTAATCCTGTGTTCTTTGACATCCAGATGATACTGACTGATATAACAATAGTGCTCCTTTAATCTGGTTTCAGAGGAATGGCCAGTCTATTCAATGAAGGCATGCATGCACACACACACACACACAGAGGAGATGCTATACATGCCAAGTATCCCTAACCATAGGGCAACCTTCTCAGACCAAAGATAAAACTTTCCTCTGCAGTAAGGGAACAGACTTGATGTTGTTCCTGAACAGAACCCTATCAGTGTGAATGAAGGACATACTGACATAAGGTAGAATGCAAAATGAGGCAGAACCCTCTCTGGGCAGAGGGAATTCCTAGGTGGACTAAGAGCCTGACAAATATGCTGTTTGCTGTAGCCAGTCTTTCTGAAACCGAATCTGAGAACCTGGAACTCATCATGAAGATATCTCATCTCAAAAAGCACCATTGAAGGTGATACTGACATAGGGTAGAATGGAAACTGAGGTAAAATCCTCTCTGGGCAGAGCAACTGTCACAGGTGGTCTGCAAATCCAGGGAATCTGCTGGTTGCTGTAGCCACTCCCTCTAAAAGTGACATTAAGAAACTCCAACTTTTCAAGCAGACTACCAGGTTGCGAAAAGTTCTGGTCCTCTGCACCAAGGCAGGCATATTAAGACTGCTGGCTTCCCACTAACCTCCAAAAGGTGTCTCCACCTTGTCGTGGTGGTGGGGCTTGCGTGACTCTGTGACCTGGAGAGCTATGCCTGTGGTACTTTAACTACCAGTAGGGTCACCCATGCAGCAAAGGTCAAAGGGTAGAGTCCAGACTAAGAGAGATATCATGGTCCTCCAGGGTGGGGGTTGGGCATGAGGCTAACAACATAATCCTGTGAAAAGAATTTTGTTCAGAAACCTAACAACCAGCCTTGGGTCATCATTCCTATGGCAGCACACATTGGTTGTGGAGACTGGTTGTAGAGGAGGCCAAGGCTCACCAAGCGCTGTAGCACCGAGTGATAAGTAGGTAGGCATGTAGGCTTCCCACTAACGATGGTTTCCAGTTTCCATCAGCATACAAAGAATGATCTACACCTAAAGACACCAAATATGTACAGCATCCCCTGCAAGTACAGACAGACCTATATTGGATATGTCATTCTGTTGAGGCCAGGATAATGATGCAACATTGGCAAATCTATCTCTGTCATTGAGATCAATCAGCTGTACTAGAACACAGCATAAACCTGGGATATCACATCCAACTACCAGCATTCTATCCACCAAACCTAGATACACAGGGAGACAACAGAGATCCTATAACCATGAACAGGGAGGATGGCTTATGCCTGACCAACTCATGTAGGGCTCTCATCTGCTCCCTGAAGGAACTTCAAAAGTCTCCTTCCACGAATAGTGTGACAAGGTCTCTATACCCTGGCCCTTACTAGGTCCTTCTACAAACTGCCCTTTCAAGGTCTTCTTTCTTTATCCCTCTCTTCCACATACTGTATTTTCCACTTCATTCCATTTTAACCTTATTTTGAGTTTGACCATTACATTATTTCACCTGATTTTTTTACTTTAATCTTCATTTTATTTTGTACTGTATTTATATTACCTTCTCATCTTATGTTGATTAAATTTTCGCTTTTTACTTTATTTCTTAATAAATAAGTGAATACATGTGTGTGTGTTTATAAATGTGCCAGTGTCTGAAGCTACTTGCAGCTGGATAAATACCAATTTAAACAGCCTTAACTATACCACGTACACCACTAAATAAAATCAAACCCTTGTCAAATTGTAGAGTGTTCCGACTAACAGTACGTGAAACTGTAACAAGAAGGAACGTTAATAATGGCTTAAATTTTGATAATAAAACATGCTGTATACAAAGATAGACTTGAAAGGATTCTGACAATGGTGTATACTGTACTTCTTTTGGCTTATTTTGGAGTTCGCCCATCATCTGGTATGTAAGAGACAAAAAACCACGACGTTTCGGAGACTGGATCTGTCTCCATCTTCAGGTGGATAGGGAAGGATAAACCTACTCAGTTGGGCCTGTTAGAAAGAGCTATCCACCTGAAGACGGAGACAGATCCAGTCTCCGAAACGTTGTGGTGTTTTGTCTTTTACATACCAGACGATGGGTGAAGTCCAAAATAAGCCAAAAGAAGTATGCTGTATACAAGCCAGTCAGCACTTCAAGCAAAAATCAAGATAAAATTACTCAAACAGGAGAATAACATCAATTAAATGAACATGTCTAGCCCTACGCCACAACATTAGATACTCAAGATGGTCATCTCCTGAGATGTCACATAATGCACCATGAAGATGAAATTCCTGTCATTCGTCATAACATGGTTATTCCCACAGGGTGTGTAAAATGGTAAGGGGAAGATCACATTACAACAAATGCCTCCTCAGTGTCAGATGAGTACCTATCACTAGCTCACCAACAAACTGTTCTTCTAACCGATCTGATCCCCGTATGTATGAAAACTGTCCTGATGTGACAATAAGCACTGCATTTTTCCACAGAAAATCACATAATCTTCTGTTGGCTCAATGTTACTCTTGTCCTGTATAATCTCCTGACACTGTATTCAAATATCATGTTCACTTTCCATTGCTTAGCTCATACAAATGACCCTGTCCCTGAGAAGGCCCCCACATACCATAATAGTTATTAACATGCTAGTTTTTTGTCAGGGACTCTCAGCACCACACCCCGCCAGCTTTCCCTCCTCCTCCATCCATGAAGTGAGAATGTGCTGTGAAATTTAATGTCATGACAGTAAGAAACCACTTAACATGGTCTCATTCATAATATATAAAATAAAACAATCATCGAAGTTGTGATGATATCACTAATTTGCCATATATGTAACTAAACCAATTACAGAAAAAAAAAAGAGGAAATAAAATTCTGACCTCTTCCTTCACAGTAATGATAACTTCGGGCTCCAGAAGGCTGAGAGGTTTTGTACTGCCTGCCATAGGTGTAACCCATTAGCAATTCTGAAACAGGAACAATAAAAACACTGAACTTCACTATCATGTAAATGGATAAAACTGTATTATGACACTACATTGTGTCATTATATAGAACACTGCAATATGAACCTTCACTGCCATGGAAACCCCAAGTCTCCTACAGAAGTGCACATTATACCATTTATCTGTTAGTGGTTTACGTAATGATACTGTCAGTAACTCAGTGCCAATGCTAGGATTAGTAAATAACAAGCAGGAAACAACATGGAAGAAAGAGGTCATGACTAATCTAAGGTACTATTCTGGCATGTGCACACAAATACTGAGGAAAATCATAAAAAGCCTACTTTGCTTCCTGCTTTCATCCCACACTTATCTCTGCTGTCATGAAAATAATACAGAGTCCATGTCTTGTACAGTTGGAAGCACTTCCTGGGCAACATGAGATGTGCACTTTTACTAATATACCAATAGCAAATAACATTCAAATTTATCCACACAGCTACTAATGATATATACACTCTGGTTCCTCTATACTAAGCAAATCTAGCGCCATAGCTCAAGCGGTTAGTCGCTGGCTTCCCACCGCGGCAGCCTGGGTTTGATCCCAGGTCTGGTCAAGGGGGATTTGTGGTGGACAAAGTGGCGCTGGGGCAGGTTTTCTCCGAGTACTTCGGTTTCCCTTGCCAATCTTCATTCCACCAATTGTTCCACAATCACCATCACCTATCATCTGGGGCTGGTACAATAGGCCAGATGTGGCTGCAGCACAAGGGACTTAGTCCCACCCCACTAGCAATAAAAAAAAAAAGCAAATCTACCATCCAACCTAAAAATCGAAACCAAATTAAGCCAAGCCAAATCAGGAACCATATAGCCACCGGTCCCACTTCTACTGTGGTGTGTAGCAAAAAGAGCCTTCATTGTCATACCATTCCTTTTGTGCCTAACATGTCAGCTGCCTGGCTGTATTACTTGTATCATAATAATTTAATTTCTTACCATCTCAATATGCATAGTCGCATCATCCTGCTATGACGATGTTTACTCAGCATGGGCATTTAACAAAAGACACCCTGTTCTCATTAGCCAAATTCAGTGAAATTATTCTTCCTGTGAAAATCAAGCTTCGTGTAACAATAATGAGAATGATTTATCTTCGCCATTTAAACATAAAAACTATGCACAATTAAAAATCTTGGTATATTATGAACTTCAAATGAAACCCATGTAGCTATGCCTGATAAAATAAGTAGCGCTTTCATAAACAGACGTTTACAGTTTACCAGGAAAATGCATTACACTTTAAGGGTAATATTCCAGCAATGTTTCTACTGGAAACACAAATCTTCGAAGGATACATAGCACCTAGACCGAAATATCATATTCAATTCCACTTCACACAACTTGAAAATATCTATCGTTACCGATCCATGCAGACAATGCACAGCCTGATGGATCCATATTTCAAATATTTCGTTCAAGCGGCTATATCTTGTTTCTGGGAGACCGTGAACACCAGAGGTATGTTACACCCACAAGCGAAGACATTTTTTATGCATAAAAAATCAAATTCAAAAAGAGCAACATAATTTAGCGCTTCTTGTCTTAATACAACACGGTGGACTCAGAAACAAGGGCCTTTCGAGACTATATAATTGGAAATAACGAAATAACTACAACATTTGAGGTTCGAGTATGAAGGTTAACTGCCTTCAGATTTGTAAAGCTCTGTAGTTTTGTTAATATACTCGTACACTAGCGTCTCGGAAGACAGAAATGCGCGCGGCAAATTCCTTCAGCCTTTCCAGCCTTCTTGGCCCCACAGTCTTCATGAACAGCTATCATTTTTTAATCTGTTCTTGACCAGACCTCTTATCAGAAGCTACCAATCCAGCTGTACTCAGAAGTAGATGAATTTGCTTATCTTGGGCGGAGGACAAGGTGATTCAATTGTATATTTGCCAATTCATTCTTCCAAATTTTAATTGCTAAAATACTGTAATGCTGGGCTGGTGTATGATTACTTATTATTTGAGATGTATGTGCTGCCTATGGATGAGTGACCCTGGCAGCCATGGTCTCACATCATCCTGGTAGCTTAATGCCCATCTCTGTGTGTGTTCTTATGTTAGACACACTGAGGTATGGATTTTGGTTTATTGCATCCTGACATCATTTGATGATAAGATGATAAACAGTTCCAAATGAAACCCAGAGCTGCCATTATCAGTTACAGTGGACACATGCACCACCAGCAGAATGGAAGCTATTTGAGGAATATGCTGATGTAGCACAAGACAAGTACACCATATAAATAAGTCTATTTTCAATTCTCTACCACTACAACAAGGATCACGTCACAGCTACCTGTACATCACCTTGTATCATGTACAAAATCTTACACAAAAACAAAATAATTTGGCTATAACATACTTTCAGCTTTACAATCCGGTGCTTACCTTTGAGAAGACTGCAAGAGTAATCTCCATACTGAGGATGAAGCTTTCAGCTCCACATTCAGGTGATAAAACTTTTATATCACACCAGTCTCTACCACTGCTCAGTCACTAATCTCCCACACCACTTTGGAGTGTTTCTACATCGCCAAGCCTCCTGCAAGACTTTGGCTATCAAGTGACCTACCTGTGAGTTGAAATGATCCACGCTGAGCTAGCATTTCTAACTTTGCAACCTCTCCCCTGTTTAAATACTTAGTAAAAACAAAAACTTTTGACTACATTACAAATTAAAATTCATTTACTACAGTACAATGAAATGACATTTTTTTTGTACATAATTTACAAAATTCGTTAAGTACTACGAGGGGCATTCAAGTTCTAAGGTCTCTGATTTTTTTTCTCAGGACTGGGAGCAGATAAGACACATGAGGTTTAGTTTAAAATACGTGTGCACTCTTTGTGAATGTGTGACAGAGATGGCAGCACTCTACGGCACACAGAACTCTAGTGGTAGCAGCGAGGGTGAGGAGTGTTTTTGATACTTAAAATGGCGACGTTTTCGTTACAAGAACAGCGAGTAATCATTCGTGTTCTCCACTTGCGTGGTGCGACACCCATTGAAATTCATCGCCAGTTGAGTGAGACGTGTGGTGATGGTGTCATGAATGTGAAAAATGTGCGTTCGTGGGCGCGACAGTTCAAAGAAGGCCGAACGTCGTGTGACAACGAACCAAAACAATCTAGGCCTTGCACCAGCCGGTCTGACAACATGGTCAAGCGAGTCGAGAAAGTTGTTTTGGAGGATCGCCGATTGAGTGTGGAAAACATCACCTCCAAAGTTAGCATTTCCATGGGATCTGTGCAAAAAATCCTGCATGAAGACCTGCGAATGCGGAAAGTGTCCTCCAGGTGGGTGCCATGAATTCTGGCGGATGACCACAAGGCTGCACGTATAGCAATTTGCCAGGCGATGTTAGCAAATGATGAAGGCATGAATGGGACTTTCTTTTCATCAACTGTGACAATGGATGAGACATGGATGCCGTTTTTCAATCCACTATTGCATCAGCAATTTTCCAGTGGTCAAAACAGACTCCTACAGAAGCGTTCGCAGCGGCCATGGAATCATGGCTTCAACGTTGTGAAAAATGTGTACGGCTGCAGGGAGATTACGTTGAAAAGTGACAGAAGTTTCAAATCTTTTGTATGATTATTGTGTGAGAAAAAAATCGGAGACCTTAGAACTTGAACGCACAACGTATATTATACATCATGTGAGTATATCTCGTTATCAACGGGACTTTTCTGAGAATTTCTGAATGTAGAGTATGCCAACACACACGAATAGTATATATGGATAAATACCGTCTTAAGTGCAACAAATTTTTATTGTAGTTTTTACTTCTTTTCCTCCTCCACACTACATGTTTCGGCCCNAAGATAAGCAGCGACACACACAGAGAGCGCCTACACTGAACAACACATGAACAACGATAAAAACAAGAAGTGGCCGCTGCAGCACCGTAGATATAGGGCATGTACCCTGAAAAAATTTTAACTAAAAATTGAAAAAGAAAGAACAGAGATCTTATAGACATTTTAACTTGAATTAAGTTTTAAAAAGTGCTAATTTAAAAATCAAATCGACGCGTGTAGATTAACAAAGATTTTATACAATTAGAAAGACTGGTAATTTTAAATTTTAAAAAGCAGTGTAACAGCTACGTGAGTGATACACACCTGATGATGGCCATTTAGGGCCGAAACATGTAGTGTGGAGGAGGAAAAGAAGTAAAAACTACAATAAAAATTTGTTGCACTTAAGACGGTATTTATTCATATATATTGTGTGAGTGTAACAGGATGCTGAAATATAATATTGTACACACGAATAGATTTCCATTTTTCATAACCACTAACAATGCATAAACTTGTATCCATCCTATGTTATTTTAACATGCCCACAATCTCTACACTCCATATGTGGAGAGTTATTCATATGCATGATTAAGGAATAAAATACAGTGGATACTTCATTTAGCAGCCGAAATATCGTAGTCAGTATACCGACTGCGTATGGCCTGGCCAAATGAGAGGTCAGAATTCGAGTACCTGTAGGGTCAAGAATTTTCACTTCTCCAATCGTCCAGACCAGCTCTGGGGTCCACCCAGCCTCCCATACAATGAGAACCAGCAGCTCTTTCCCAGGGGTAAAGCACCTGGGGCGTGAAGCTGACTGCTCACCTCCAACCAGTTCCAAGGTCAAGAAAATGTGGGTCTATACATCCACTCCCCCATATGCCTTCATGGCACAGTGCTTAATTAGTTAAGCACAGGGACAAGTATACCCTTTACCTTACCTTCATTTAAGGTTTGACTTTGAGATGGGACCTTCGTATCTTAAACTGAGAAATTTCTTAAATGGAGATTATACAAAATTTGAACAGAAAATTACACTTTTAAGTTTTCACATCAAATATCTGCTTTAATATAACAAAATAATGAAAAAATATGCAATACAAGAGTCATTAAAAATGTATAAAAATGGAGAACAAATTTGTTGGAATCATTCAACAGAATCATTTACAATTGATTTTAAGCTCTTAACTTCATGTTTTTCTTTTCTTACCCTGTGCCCCACTTAAATTCTCCATCTGTGATAGTCTCTTTTGAAGGCAAGGCACAACTTTATTTAATGTAAATGGAGTCAAGGCGATTTGTCATTTCAATGTCTTGGAACATTCACATGGACTTCTACTACACTGATCACATTCTGTTTGGCCCTTACGGTCAGCTTTTTCCTCTTGTAAGCCATCACAAATCTAATTTAAAAATCGCAAAATGATGCACAGAAATTACCCATATGCATAAATATGAATGTATTCCTTACACAATTAAATGTAAATACACCAATCTCCAACACAGCTTTGTATACATATACTGCAAACAATACACAGTGAATGTCTTAACACAACCTCCAAAAGGATACAGTACATGTGGCTTGGAGTGGCTCCTTCCCAGTAGTTTCTCCAGCTGACTGAACACCCATGTGTAGAGTTCACTAGTCAGCCAGGTGATGATGTGGATACTGACCCTGAATGAACCATAGCATGCAGGAAGCAGAGTTTGGCAAATTATTGTCCTCAGGTTTTGTATGAACACTAAATCTGAGCACAGATTTCATGCAAGGAGTAAAAATTCATCCATTAAATGGAGGTAAAATTATCAATTGAGAAACACTAAAATGTGGTATTTTATGCCTTGTGTATATGGGACTTTTAATGAGATTCCAAAAATTGAACACCACATACAAGAAAACCTTGAGAAACCACAAATCATGATTAAACTGTAATCAGGGTTCAAACAGAAACCATGAACTTTACCATTAAACTGAGTATAGCTTTTAGGAAAATAATACACATGAAAGAACTATTTTAAAAATATGTATATTAAAAATTTGTACATAATTTCATTCATTCATGTTATATACATAATAACAGAAAGTGTTACACAGAAACCTCACAGTGTCCTGCATTTATAAGCTCATCGGCTGTCTAGTAGTTATTGCACAGACTTTCCACCATAAAAATCATGTGAGATTTATAGTGAAGATTTCCTTAGCTCAACTTCTCTTGTCATCCATCAGTTCTTCTCAATATAGCTAACATAAATTGTGCCAAATAACACAATCCAGTAAATCTGTGCAATATATGCACCAACAAATATGGCAACACACAGACATTTCTCTTTCTCCCAGCAAGATAAAGGGGAAAAGTAATACAAAATAGTAGAACAAAATACAATGCCAAATGCACTTATTTTATGATATAGCATAATTTATCAAAATATAACACCATACAGACTGGTACTTTTAAATATGTCCATACCCTAACCAGAATTCAAAGATCCTAACAATATGCCCATATTCATACAAAGCATACAAAGGAAATAATTAATATTTTCTTAACCAACAGTTATAAATGTATTTATCAACTCTAAAGAAAAGCCCTTCTTCCCTGTACATTTCTGTAAAATTGGCTAAATATTAGGCATGTGCAAGTATCAAATTTTTTATATTGAATGGATGAAACGAATAACTTATTATTATTATTGTTTGAAGGGGGTGGGTTTCCCCATGCACTGCAACCATTTGTTGATCTATTGTGCGTCCCCCTTTAATTATTCTAACTAGTCGCCATGCCCTTCCAGTACTGGTGCTCGCTATCAGCCCCGTTCTGCCAGTGAGGTTGGTCCTCTCTGGCAGTGGTCACCGATACTTCTTAAATACCTTGATTCAAACATTTATTTTTTCAATCTTGAACTTCATGAATTTTCTTATGATTGCTCTTCTTTTGCATGTTGTCATCCGATATCAAAAGAGATGCATATCATTCATTCATGTTATGTAACAACACAATTTCAGTAGTAAACACAGGATTATTTTAAGACATAATGTTAACAAGTGCAACCATCTGCACTCCACAGTTAACTTGCAATAGTTCCGAAAGTGACTTTTTAAAATGGCATTACAGTTTTGATTTCAGCATGCCCATAAGTTTCTCCAACTTCATGGCCTTTTGCAGGTTCCCACTGATTTTCAGCTTCCCTGTCATGAATGCTCCTGCTGGCTTCAGTTTTCCTGCATTAAATAAAGCAATTCAAATTCACAAATTACAGTTCTAAAACCACAAAAAAAATAATAAATTTAATCTACTCTTGAAGAGAAGTCTATTTACCATATTTAACCCCACTGTGATACAGCCTTATATTTTGATGTAAAATAATCTTTATTACATGTTTTCTGGTGGGGGGCACATGGTAGCCTACTTGGTTGAGGCACTATACTATAAGCCGGAAGGTCGCGGGTTCAAGTCCCAATGAGGTCACTGGATTTTTTTTTCAATTGACCTAATCCTTCCAGCCGCACTATGGCCCTAACAGCCTCTAACAGAAATGAGTACCAGGAATTAATTAAATAATTTTCCTGGGGAGTCAAGCGCAGCCGGCACATAAGGCTGACAATTTTACCATCTTTGAGCCGAGTGTCTAGATATTGTGGGACCCCAACGTCTCACAACCCTATGGGCCTGTTACAGGGATAGCTTTACTTTTTTTTCACACGTTTTCTGGCAAAATTTGAATCAAACAATTATCCACTCTCCACCTCCATCACACACACACTGGCTTTACAAATGCTGTATTTGCTCTGTGTCCCACAGTTACCAGTATTAAACTCACTGGCATATGTGATAATCATTACCATATGTGACCTTCCAGCTTGTAGCATAGTGCCTCAACCAACTACGCTACTGCGTGCCCCTTTAATGGAACTTGAGCATTCAAAATATTATGAAGCATCACTTACAAAGCCCCATCTAAGACAAAGTTATAGATAAAAATTAGAGAATTGGTTCATCCTTGGTAACTACATAAAACAGAAAAATGGGCTTGGGTTTTCTGAAGGACCATCTTACCAGAAAACAAATCAAAGAAGTCCTTGCTATCCATGGAGAGAGTTGCGTCTGCAGCTGATGGTGGCTTTCCTTGGCCTGCTGAACCCTTGCCTGTCTTGAGATCAATGTACCAGTCCCCAGACTCAGAACCTAAAAGCATATTTGATTAGAAGTGAGAGAATAATTTATTACCTACTGCCACCTCACCAGTGTACAATTTCCACTGTGAACACATATGTAAATAAAACATTGTTTATGAACATTTTACAAACTACATGTGTGATAATATAAGAAGTTCTAAAAATATGTTTTCTTTCTGAAAGCACTGTACTACAAATTTTGTATTCAGTATAAAAATGACAATTTCTTGAAAAATACTAAAATTAATATAACTCTTCTTTAATAAAAGTGAATGCGCCACCTTGTCTTCAAAACTGTTGTCCATACACTCATTTTAAGAGTCAAAACAGTACAGGATCTAGCAAAACATTTTTAGAATGTAATGTTAGTGTGCATTTTTAATTTCGATAAATTTAAGAATTTATGACAGAAACAATATTTCTCTTAGTTTTACAACTAGTGCCTAGTGGTTATTACCAATCTAGGACAAAGATGGTGTCAGTATTATGAACTCTATACTCAGAAGGCAAATACACAGTAAAAATCACATAATTTAAAATTTGTATTTTTCATCCCCTGCACTTCAAATTAACAAGGTTCTGCTTTATGCTGGAAAAAGAAAGAATTCTTTTATGACTTTTACTTGGGTAGATATCTAAAAGAAACAGCACAGACTTTTTCTGGTATTAAAAAGGTATTAAAATACTGCCTTGGGGTAAATCAAGGGAATTTCTTTATGACATTCGACAACATAAGCACGTATGAGTTTTGTCTAATTACCAGAAGAAACAGGGTTTCTTTTCATAACTGATTTTAGATGGCAAAAATGTTGTGTTGACTTGAAGTGGAACTGAATTAAAAAAAAAAATAATCTGAATGAAGCTCAAGGGTTAAGAAGAAAGACACCCTTTCTTTTAATCACAATATAATGGTTAGCATTCTTGTTTTGTATTCCACTGGTCCTAGATTTGAGATCTGGTTCTACAGACTGGTTAACCTGAAGAGTTTTCCATGTTGTCCTCAGTACATCCAAGAAAATGATGGATAATATCTCAAAACAGGCCACAATCCATTCCACATCATTCTCAATTCAGCATTCATAATCCTGTTGATTCTCAAGTAACACTACACATTGTTGCAGTCTCATCACCAAAATGCACAGCAAATCATATCAAAAAGACAGAAAATACAGCTCATGGGTACAGTACATTTGAAAGAAGCATAATGTTCAAATGACTATGGGAAGTATGGAACTAGAATTACCAACCTTTCACAACAAAATGAAATACAGCATTGGTTTTTGACACCAATTCAGGACTGATATTGGCCTCAATTTTTTCAAATAGAGACGCTATCTGGCCCCCTCCTACGCTGCTCCCACTCTTCTGCTGTGTAAGCTTAATCGTATCTGGACTCTGCTCCAAAAAGAAATCAAGCATGATATTCTCTTTATTGGCTGAAAAGAAAAGAAAAGCATTAGTATGTCTGAAAGAGCTGAGGTCCTGAAAACCAATAAAAAGGAAAATTCCTTTAATTTTCATCATAATACCATTTGCTGGTGATCATTTAATAGTGTTATCAGCTAATGCAAAATGGTCTCATTATGCGGGTACAGGCAGGCTTACCATACATCCCAATCTGAGTGGAAAAGCCCTAGTTTTGAGCTCTTGTACTGGTGTCCCAGCAAGTTCACAAATTAGTTCCAGTTTGCAGTTTTATCCCTTCCATCACAAATTCCCATTCCTCAGTGATAAAAATCTTGCAACTTTGCATTTGGCCCAAGTTACATTCAACTTCAAGTCAATGTTTTCAGGATAAACATACCCATCAGTGGCAGAAGTTACCTCCCACCTTCAAAACATTTGAGAGGGAAGAAGAGTTGCATTAATAGCAGCGCAAAGGTCTTGTCCACGTTAGAAAACAAATTTTCAGTTTGTTAGATTGTCATCACATTATGACATTTCTTGGATTTATTTTACAAGAAACGGGTTTTTCATAACAGTCTGATTAAGATACAGACCTTAGAGAAACAGGATTGATCTGGCTCAAGACATAGAATAGTGGAGGGCTCTTGTGAACATGGTGATTAAACATCAGGTTCCATAAAATGTCACATCCTCAAGTCCCTCAACTGGCCACTTTTCAAAACGAACTCAGCTCCATGGAGTTAATCATTCAATAAACAGTTTTGAGTAACTCATTCATTCATTCATTCATCAATGGCTCTATAGCCCTCTGTTGGGCCCTGACCTCTTCTTCAGTGTCATAATCTTTTTTTACATGCATTTAATACCTTAATTTAGTCACCTTCAAAACACTAAGCAAAATGTGCAAATCATGAAGCTCCTCAATACAAAATTTTCTTCAATAGTCTATTACTTGATTTCTTTTTGCACAAAATATCCTCCTCAGCTCTGGTTCTTGTACACCACTGATCTCGAGAAAGTTGAGGTTCTCACAGCAGTGATTAAGAAGAATGCTGTTGTCTGGGATGTGACCCTGTGTAGTCTAGGAGATATTTACCAATGTTTCAGACAAATTACTGCCTCCAGCTTAACGATCAATAAGTTGAATGAGCGAGCAAGCAAGCAGCACTCCACTTGCTCCTTCTTTGATCAACTCACTTTTTGACCCTGAAGATGAAGGTAGCATGTCCCTCAAAACACCAGTAAACTACCAGATGACACAGCATCCAGCAGCATATTCCAGAAGATAGTACACTTCACCCTTATTATTATTATTATTATTATTATTATTATTATTGGAGGGGTGGGTTTCCCCATGCACCGCGACCAGTGGTCTATTGTACGTCCCCTCTGTGATATTCTACCAGTCTCTATACCCTACCAATACTGGTGCGTGCCATCAGTCCCAACTCAGCAAGCGAGTTCGGCCTCTACTGGCTCAGCGGTATCTCTCGATGCTTCCCCCATCTATCAGAGGCGTTAGAGACTACTGTTGGGCGGGAAATGTCCGATCAATTTGGCTCAGTGGTCCCTTTGGGACATCAGGTTCTTTTATGTGCCGTAAAGCTACGACACGGGACCCACGACTTAAAGTCCCTCCCGGAAGACTTGTTCCCTGAATTTTTCCGCCCTTAAAAATTCCACGACCTCCACCAGGTTTGAACCCGCGTACCTTTAGTCTTGCAGTGGGAACGTTACCCCTAGATTACGGAGGCCGCACTCTTCACCCTTAATCTTGTGTTTCCTTCTGAATAGAAGACTGAATATAAAGGGACATGTAAGATTAAACTGTTATATACTTAAATTTGTGAATGTTCTGAAAGTGCACTGAGTGATAAAAGCACTGAACAAAACAGCAACAATTTTCCAAAGCTGAAATACTGGAAAATAGGAGTAAGAATTCAAAATTATATACATCTAGCAGACTACAAAGGACATCCGGAAAGTAAAGATACAAGTCCAGTAAACATGAAAGGGATCCCCCTCCCCCAGAAATGGCAGTGCTGCCATGTGAGGTAGGAACTGTATGACGGGGCTGAGTTCACCGGCCACAGTCACAGCAACATTCTGCTCGCACTGTGTGTTTAAAATGGCCATGTCAATTCAAATTCCTGCCGAATGTGAGGTTTGTGCAGTAATTTGATTTCTTCACGCGAAAGGAGAAACTGCTGCTGAAATTCATTGCCAACTTATTTCTGTTTACAGCGAAGCTGTTATGAACAGGCAAAACATGGCAAAATAGTGTCATGAATTTGAAACAGGAAGAAGTGATGCTCATGATCAAATAAGGAGTGGAAGGCCACCCACTGTCACCGAAGAAATCATCCAAAAAAACTGATGAAAACATTCGTGCTGACAGAAGTTTAACCATCGATGAACTTCATCAACAATGTCCAGAAGTGTCAAGAACTGTTCATGGCTACAGGCTGGAATAATAAAACTCATTCCCAGCCTCACTAAGGACATTGCACACGTAGTAAAGAATAGCAGCAGCACGCACATAGGGAGACTACACAAAATAACACCTGTACAGTGCTGGAAACAAGAACTAGCCGTTGCAGCACTATAGACATAGGGCGAGTAACCCTGACAATTTTAAATTTTAAATTTTAAAATTTAGAGAAAAATTTTGAAGTATTTTAAAATTAGAACTAAAGATTTTAAAAGTGCTAACGTGTGTAACAAAATTAATCTATAAACCAGACAGATATCAACGAAGTAGATGTTGATAATAACAACAAAAGGAACAATGTGTTTTTAAATGTTAAATTTTAAACTAAGCGCAGTGTAACAGCAACGTGAGTGTATACACCTGATGATGGCCGTTTGAGGCCGAAACATGTAGTGTAAAGGAGAGAAAGATCAACGACATATAATATATTGTTTGCACTTGGGACAGAGTTCATATCATTTATCATATAGAGTGAACAGGATGCTTAAATATAATATTAAATATAACACTGCAACCCATTGTGATTACGTCAAAAAGTAAATAAAGGTGTGTTGCAAAAGTTCTACAAGTGAATCCCCCAAAAAATGCTTTACAAATATTTTCTGGACTTTATATCTTTACTTTCCAGATATCCCTTGTACATAGCATCACATCCCAAAACAAAACACTCCACAGTGACCAACCTGACAACCTCAGATCCAAGAGAGTAATAATGACTGATGTCATTCAGTTCAGTATCTTTCACCTCTCCTATCTAAAAACCTACACATTAAAACACATAAAACTGTAGTTTTATTTATGGGCAATTTAAGATCCTCATAGCAGTGAGCATTAAGATTATAGAAGGCTGTAATCTTGTTCTTTCACTTGTTGTTTTATATGCATTTTTCATCTCCTAAATGCGTACTACATGTCTCCAAACATACTATTCAGCTATAAATGGTCAAACCAGTAAAATGTTGGCTTAATGTTGACAAAACACCGTTTAATAAAGGTTTTCCTTTCCATTTATACCTTCCAAAACAATGAACTTATTTTTTAAGATCTCTGTATGGTCTTTTATTTGCAGCATCACCATAAGTAATCTTAAACAAAAACACAGATAATGCAAATGGCTAATTCACTTACAAGGATCCACAGCATATTGGTCCAAGTCTGTTACTCCTTCTTCTCTGAGAATTTCATCATCCACGGTAAAATTCCCCGTGAATGTCTTCGAGTCCCGACAAAAGATGGCATATGCAGCATCAGCAATGATCTCTGGTTTCCTTGATACACGTGCTGCCTCTCTGCCACTAAGCATTTCAATGGCTGCTGTATGAATTGCTGTAAATACATATTGAGATTTTTAAAATCAAATTTTAAATATATTGTAAATTAGTCTACTACTTCTGTAGTTCAATGACTAATCCAGTTAACATTTCACAAAATGTAAAATATCAATTAGCTCCTACCAGTTTAAACTTCTACAACCTGGCTTGCCATCAAACTCTAGGACAGACAGAATTACAAAGAACCACAGCAAAAATTAAAATCAGCTAATGATAACCCAGTTCCTAATCTACACAAATTATTCTGAATAGCTTTTAATAATCTGCAAGCAGCCTCCGTAGTCTAGGGGTAACGTTCCCACCTTATGACTCAAGGTACGTGGGTTCAAACCCGGCGGAGGTCGTGGAATTTTTAAGGGCGGAAAAATTCAGGGAACAAGTCCTCCGGGAGGGACTTTAGGCCATGGGTCCCATAAAAAGTTTCCCGCCCAAGTAGTTTCCAATGCCTCCAGTAGATGGGGGAAGTATCGGGTACCACTGCCAGTAGAGGGGCCAAAATCGCTGGCTGAACGGGGCTGATAGCAAGCAACAGTGTCTGAAGGGTATGGCGACTGGTAGAATATCAAAGGGGGACGTACAATAGATCAACAACTGGTCGCAGTGCATGGGGAACCCACCCCCTCCAATAATGAATGAATGAATGAATGAATAATCTGCATATACTTGGCAATTATTCAAAGAAAATAACTTTTCCTTCTTCTTCAATATAATGTACAAGTGAAAAATTATATACTGTAGAGAATATAGAGCACAGTAAAACACCAGTAGCCCCAACTATATGGGAAGAAATGTTGTTTGAATCTGGCTATAATCCAGATTTCCTTCTTTCCTTCCTTCCTTCACCTCAGTGCCACAACTCAGAGTGAGCTTTGGTCTCCTGAACATTTGCCTCCATTCTTCTGTTCTTCCATCCATCTGAGACTGATTGTCTGGTTTCTGAACAATTTAGTTTTTATGGTATGAGGCTGTTAGCCTCACGCTCAAACCCCAATCTGGAGGACCAGGCTATCTTTCGTCATCTGGCTCCTACCCCTTTAGCTACGCTAATGCTGGCATAGCTCTCAGGGTGTCAGGAGCACTCAAACCCCATCACCATGATAAGGTGGAGACACCATCAGTGGGGTATAATCCAGACTAGCAACCCAAAAAGCACAAGACTGAGAACAGTATATTTTGATTATTATTAAAATATTGCATTAGAGCACTCAAGTGGCTGTGACCAACCTGCTTGCTTTCCCATGCTCAGTAACTGCTAAAGTAGGGTGATAAGTAATCAAAAATGGAGTTTCTACATCCCAATTAGTGATCTGAGAGTCCAAATGACAACCGACAGAAGCTATATATCATACATTGGACTCGTAAAATGTTTTCAAATAAAGCAGTCTTATGACTGGACGACACAAAGCACTGTGAGAGTCATTAGTATTAATGGCAGCAACAGTTCTAATTATTCACAGTCACTATTAGCTTATTATTATTATTATTGGAGGGGGTGGGTTTCCCCATGCACCACGACCAGTTTGATCTATTGTACATCCCCCTGTGATATTCTACCAGTCTCTATACCCTACCAGTACTGGTGCGTACCATCAGTCCCGACTCAGCCAGTGATTCGGCCTCTGCTGGCTCAGCAGTATCTAGATGCTTTCCCCATCTACCAGAGGCGTTAGAGACTATTGTTGGGCGGGAAATGTCCTTACAAATTTGGGTCAGCAGTCTCCTTGAGACATGAGGTTCTTTTACGTGCCGTAAAGCGACACGGAACCCACGGCTTAAAGTCCCTCCCGGAGGACTTGTTCCCTGATTTTTTCCGCCCTTAAAAATTCCACGACCTCTGCTGGGTTTGAACCCGCGTACCTTGAGTCATGAGGTGGGAACGTTACCCCTAGACTACAGAGGCCGCTCACTATTAGCTTAAATGAATAAATATTTTTGTATAAACACTTAGGTTATGTTCCACATAATGCACATGGGTTTAATTCAAATCTCTAAAGCCATTAATTCTCACGATTTTTTTGTTTTATATTATGAATGCCTTGACTTGTCACCCATTTTTATACTGTGGATGAATTTTTTGTATGTACTAGTCGGTAAGATTAATTGTATTCTGGTTCTATTCTTATGTCTTGACTTAGTTCTTTGTACTACTTATTTATCTAATATGACTTTTCCACATCCTAAAGTATTGGATTTTATGGAAATAACAGATGAGTAATGAAAATGAAAAGAGCTTGTACTGATGCCTGAAACCTTTGAGTTCTTTATGGGGGGAGTTTTGTTGTATATATGGCTGATAATGTTCTTTTTTTATTTTGTTTTATATTATGAATGTCTTGACTTGTTCCTGTGGGAGTGGAATGTTTATTTTTTGATCTGTGACTCATTATATATCCAATGGTTCTTTCCCAGCCTGTATCTGGATCTATTTTTGAATCTGAAATAAATTGAATTGAAAAAAATGTTCTTTTTGTACCAGTTGGTATTTACCTGTCCTAGGCCAAAGAGCATTCACAGCAATTCCATCATTCCTGAACTCCTCAGCCATACCAAGGACACACATTGACATTCCATATTTTGACATGGTATATGCCACATGATTCTTAAACCAAACTGGGTCCATATTCAAGGGTGGACTCAGGTTCAAAATATGTGGGTTTCTCCCTTTCTGCAGGTAGGGTAAGCAAACTTTTGATCTGAAATATAACAGCAAGGATAAAAACTGGCTCATTACTCGACTGTCACAGTCAGAATTACATACATTCAGTTTCCTTTCATAAACACTGTTGAAACCCTTTCATGTAAGCCGAATACTGAACTCAGCATACAGCATATTAATATGTGTGAAACCTGTAAGTATGGTTTGCTACAGGCTAAAAACTAGCTGTCATACACTTCAGGCATGCATATATTTCAATAGCTTGAGAATTCTAAACAGAAGAAAGCACTGATGATAATTAAAAAATTGTACTGCACGAAATTCCTCATCAAACATTGTTATGAACAGAGTTCAAACTGTTAATAGAAATACAACTTTCCTGCATCACTCCCATGTATACTCAGGTAAAAGGGGTACAATGTGCAACATGAAACATCTTTCATCAACTTCATTTTCACATGGTGCACATAATTTCACAGGGGTCAAAAATGTAGTCATGCTCACATGAAATGCTATTATTTAATATATTATGTCTGATGGTAGTAATATTACCACCTGGCATGTCATATCAAGAAGCCAGCAACAGCACTAACCTAATATTATAAAATTTACAGGAAAAGAAATCCCTGCAATATTTACATGAACATTTCATTGAGCAGTAGTTCAAGCATCTATTTTGATACGGTTTATTTTTCTGATATACTATTTATATTAGAATAAGATGTCAATTACCATCTAAGTATTTCTTTGTCTTGATTACATACTCTTAAATCACTTACAGGTTTCAAAATAAAGGATCAGATCTCCAAGTCATAAATTTCTTATAAAAGGTTAAAACTAATATTACATTAAAAAAAAAAAATAAAACTACTAAATTGCAGTAACTACTGCCTATATCTATGAATGCACAAACAAAATTGTCTGCTTTATTCTTTCGTTAACATTTGAATGGACTTAAGATCTAAAAGTTTGTGACGATGGTATATTGCTACAAGTATTACGTTTTTGGACATAACCATCATCTTGTCTATTTTCTAAAAACCATCCTGTTTCTTTTTAAAAACACAACATTTCAGACACTGTATTCTGTCCCCATCCTCGGCTAAACCCTACTCAGTTGGGTCCAATAGACAGAACTAGCCCCTATCTCCAGAATTGACTCTTATTTTCAAGTGAAGCAAGCAAACCCAGCAATGATTTGTATGACAATGCAACATACTCACACCAGGAACGTGCCTCTGGTATTAATTTGATGCATGAGGTCATATCTTTTCATTTCAGTATCCAGAGTGCCTGTTAGTGAAATGGCACTAGCATTGTTCACAAGGATGTCAATGCCTCCAAATTTCTTTACAGCCTCTTCAACTGCTGATGTCACTTGCTTCTCATCTCGAACATCAACTATACAAGGCAGACATTTGCCCCCTGCAGCCTCAACTAAAACACATCATCTATATCAATATGTTGCTTGTTCTTTCTTTGAAGGACAACAGAAGACACAAGATGTGCAGCATCTTCTATCAGAAGAACTGAGCAAGAAAACAAACTCGTAACATCAATCACATTTAGAAATTATCCCGTTTAAATAATGATGGAAGTGGGCCCAACTCATACATGTAGATATCTATTTGAAAAGCTTGACATATTACCAATCCCATGTGTATATTTGCTCTCATTGATGATATTTGTTGTTAATAATGTGGATAAGTTTCAAACCAATAACTCTGTATACGTGATTGGTACCGGAAGGAATGACCACCTTCACATACCTTCAAAACATTTATCATCCTATCAGAGTGGGGTGCATTATTCAGGCATCAAGCTATTTAACACTCTGCCGTCAAATATCACAGTTTTAAAAAATGATAAAAAGCAATTTAGGTTTGTTTTACAAAATTATTTACAAAGTAATGTATTTTACTCTACTGATGAATTTGTCGAGCATGCAAGAGGCTCAAAAGTTAAGAGTTAATAAATGGTCTGTGTGCGTGAATTATATATTGTTGAGACTTGCTTGTTGTAAGTGTAGTAGTAAGTATGATGTCTGTTTTTGTTATGAATTTTAATATTTTATAATGTAACTGTTTTAATGATATGGCTTTCCAGTGTGTGTGGAATGGCAAGGTGTGAATTTGACTGTGGTTTTTCCATGACATGTGTGTGCTGTCCTGACAACTGGAGCTATCAGTGAGGGGCTTGATTATATATTTATTGGACAAAGGACAAATAATGTGTAGTCATCATGAATTTGTAATATGTGACATGTTTTATAACCAGCCCTACATGATTGGATGCATGAAGTGAAAATAAATGTAAATGTAAATGAAAGCTTGGCTATTCCAACTGAGAGTTTTGTGACTGTCTTGACCCCTGAGCAAAAACTAGGAAAGACTCTTATAAATAGGCTGTGACTGCTTCTTTCCCCTTCATATTTAATTCAGCATAAATAATCTTCTTCTCACTCTATTCACAACCCTAACCCTACCAACATTACAGTAGTGAATTGAAGGCTATTAACCTATTGCTCCTGATGTAGTAGAGCACAGTCAAATTGAAAGGGCATTGTCCTTGAAATCTCATTTAACATTTAAATACCCAGAAAATGGGATCTCAACATCCGTTCACAGGACCTGAACCAGCTTGCAGCATCTCAGTATGAGAGTATTGCAGTTAATGAAACTGCAGATCAGCTGGCAAGAACAGGACCTGACCCAGCTTGCAGCATCTCAGTATGAGAGTATTGCAGTTAATGAAACTGCAGATCAGCTGGCAAGAACAGGACCTGAACCAGCTTGCAGCATCTCAGTAGGAGAGTATTGCAGTTAATGAAACCGCAGATCAGCTGGCAAGAACAGGACCTGAACCAGCTTGCAGCATCTCAGTAGGAGAGTATTGCAGGAAATGAAACCGGAGATCAGCTGGCAAGAACGGGACCTGACACAAGTTGCGGCATCTCAGTTGGAGTTGCCAAGAATGCAGCCAGGGACCGGAGAGACAGAATTCACAAAAACATTGGGAATCTGTAACTGGACTCAGACAGGCAAATGGACTTATGCCAGGGCCCTCTGCCAGACCAAAGGATCTGTTGAGACTAAACAGACAACAATTAAGATGGGCGGTAGGACTATTTACAGGACACTGTCACCTAAAGCGACAGTGCCTTTCCAAACTGTGATTGACAGACAACCGAACTTTCAAAAGGTGCCTAGAAGACAAATCAGCCACACATAACCTATGCAATTGCAAGACCATAGCTTATTTAAGATTCTGTCACATGGGTCAGTTCTTTATGGAACCAAGTGACTACTATGATGTCCCTATAAAGGAAGTCCCATTTTTCATTCAAAGTGTAGGATTCATAAAGGGTCCTTTACCACAAGATGAACACTAATCCATCGTATTTGGGAATCATGATTAATGATTTAGGAGTCATGCTGATACCCTTACTGCATTTGTTTGTTTTACAGAAAAATAATTTCACTGTAACTCTTAACTGTTCCCAATTCTTATAACATAACGTTCAGTTTTGAAAGGAGCACCTTCTTACAAGGTAAGCAGTTGTTCAGTACAGAGGATGACATCTGAGAGCAACCTTAAGCACAAACAAATCCAAACAAACTCCGTGGTTTTAGTCCACAAGTGAACTATATCGACTGAGTGACCGCCGCTTGTCAGTGAAATTAGTGCCAACTTTTGCGGATAGAGGGTGTCACGTGGTCAGTGCAACGAATCCCCACAACCGTTAATTTCGGTTTTCTAGACCAGAGCCGCTATTTCCTTGAAACAGTTGCTCAATTGTCCTCACAAGGCTAAGTGGACACACTACTTCTCATAAAATTTGGTAGCCCTGGGAATTGAACCTGGACCTCTGGATCTGTAGCCAGGAACTCAGACCACTAGACCACATAGGAGGTTAACCTTAAGCACTGCTGATACAAACAGAACCCCAGACAGAAGCTAGTGAGTCATTTTGAGCTGGTCTGTCAAACATGCCAGACATGTACTGATTTCTATAATTTAGCTGATTCAGTTTATTATTTTGTTATTGTATGTTGAGTTAAAGGTGATGACAGATATCTTTGTGTGGCTGTCACAGTGGCTGTAGCAGTCTGCAGTAATCAAGAAACTTGATTACATTGACCTTCCAGGAATTAGTAATAAGTGAAAGCTTGAATCTATGGGATCAGTACTAAACATCCACCATCTAAAATCCTTCAAAATCTGAAGAATTTCCAAGTTAAATGTGTGGGTCCTCAAACTTTGTACAAAATAAGTGCAAAACTTCTTTCCATGCTATAAATTTTACATGTATGTTTCTGGATTTGTTTAATGACACTGCATCAATAATGTAAATCATACAACATTGAAATGGAGGATAATTATAAATGGAGACCTGAGACAGCCTATTCTAAAGCACTTTCTTGGCATTTAATGAGACTTAATGAAGGACATCACAAAAATATTCAGTTATGATAACTACTCTCTGGCCCCAGATTGTAACTGCACACCTCCTGAATTACAAAACATATTAACCACTATGCTGTAGCATTCAGCATATTGTATATTATTCCCAATTCATGGATTCAGCACCTTCTTGGGCTGCAGTATATATGGTTCCTGGCAATTTTGGATGTGGTTCAGCAGTTTTGGCTGCAATAACAACGTTGGCCCCATCTCTGGCAACTTTCAAGGCAATTGCTTTCCCAATACCTCGACTGGCTCCAGTGATAAAAACTGTACGACCAGCTAACTTCCTGGGGAAAAATATAAACATTCGTACCATTAATACACCTGTGTTTTCCTGTGTCACATAATGTAACTTCCACGTTTAATTTTCATTTTTATTGCGGGTTTATAGAACTACAACAAAAGTGGTATTTATGCAAACCAATAATTCAACTACTTTTTACTTAACCGCTAAATATTCGTTACCCTGTATTAATCATTATACAACAGACAACACACTTCTTAGAAACAACTGCTATCTCATTCAAAGCTATCTGAACTCAAGTACTACCGCTAACTGTACATATATACAAATACAGCATATCAAGGTTCACGGAATAGAGCGAATAGTGCCACCAACCTGAAGTACAGAGTTCAATCACATACAGATAACACACCTGCTGCGCCTGCTGCCGACCAAACACGTCAAATCACGGATTACTAAGTACTGATAAACCCTGCATTTTATCGGCCATTCCTTGATTTACGTAATTTGTACACCTGTTTGCCAGAAGTGAGGGCAGTGTAGTAATGTGCCCTATCACCAATGAAAGAACAGAGCAATAATTTGCTCATGGCCTTCGCCAACTTTCGCAACTGTCATGATTGAACTGTCCTATACAGACTTCTTGCATTCCAAGTACCAAATATCATGTCCGTTTTCCTTACCTTAAGTTGTTTCCCAAAGAAGCTGTCCAAGTCCGAAGCCCGTTGTGACATTTCGTAACAAGCTTATTTTTTACGGTGCGGATTTGTTAGCCGTACGCCCAACACCAAAACTAGAGTACCACCCCCTGTCGGCTTTCCGCCAGTGCTTATTAAATATGTTCACTGCTGCCCTCCATATCTGGAGGCTGTCTCTTCTATCTGCAACCTGAGGACTCACCATGCCGTGCTGACAAGGGACCCAACAAATGTGGTGCAATTCTACGGTGTCCTTTAATTGTTTTGTAACTTATATCATGCCTATCCTCTTCGAGGACAGAATTATAAAATGCTACAACTGTGTAAATTGTCACATGTTCCATATCCGATGGATTTGGTAGCCAGTAAGGATCTATGGAAATGAAAATAAAGATACAAGATACGAAATTTGATGTCGAATGAGATCAGCTTGGTTGGTTGGTAACAGTACTTCATGTACTTGAGCCGTGCTCATCTGAGACCTAACCTCACATTAGTCCTTAATGTGTCATGTAGTGGCTTCGATTATTGTGTTTTACATTAGGTCTTTGGGAAGCACGAAGTCGTGGCAATATGTGAAAAGTTGTATAATATTTTATTTAGTTAGTTTTTACCCGTTTTTGATGTGTACTTTATCAGATAAATAAGTCACAAAAGGTTGGTTTCAGCATTCGTTGAAAGCTATGGTTATAAACTGCAAACGACACTTTTAACATTACAGTTTATTTGCTGTTAGAGTTTTCGCTCATTAAAAGAATAACAGCACGTTATGCTACGATAAATTTACAACTTTAGTGCCATGCATGATAATTTATTGGCTTCTAAGAAATTATCACAGCACGATTTTATAAGCTTATATGAACAGTACCAGTTACAGAAAGTAATATGGATAATTGTAACAGTTAGGGGCACTGTGAACATATTTAGGAGATGAGAAGGAACTACACAGTCTGTCCATATTAACACCCTCCCTGCTGAGACAATCTAACCATGATCACAGAATTCTCTATCTTTTTATAATATTCCACTCATCATGATCTACAAAATCATTCAGTACAGTAAAGAAACTGCCATTGCTGAAACCATGAAACTTATACACACACACACACACATATATATATATATATATATTGTGAAACTTATATACACTTAATCCCCAGTACCTCATTCTTTCACATATGCCAGTGTATGCGTTTATCTTAACCAACCATTGATTTGTTTCATTCTGGTCTGTCACACTAACAAATTACAAAGACAACACAACTCCGTCCACTTTAATATACCAAGAAAGCTGCTGTAGTTGTGGGAAAGTTGGATTTTGTATATATCGTGCATTACAAACATTGTATGTATATGTATTATAACACTCAAAACACCCATTGTGATAGTAGTTTCCAAAAAGTATCGATGTCCCTCTGATGATGTTCTATAGGGACCGAAACATGTAAGGATGTTAAGTTTTCAAGTAGTAAAAACTTCAGTAGTCACACTGGATGGAGTTGTTTTGTCTTTGTAATACTTCTGTCTGCCAAGGAACTGTTGCAGTTCTACCCAAAAGCAGACAAAGTAAATTCAGTTGTGACATCAGGCCACACTGGAAAAACATTCAGGTCTACAATCAGCATGAAGCTTTACCACAGGCATATATTCAGTTCTAATGAACACAACATAAATATATCACTGAAACAGCCTCAGCCTTGAACAGAATACCATGACATTCCAGGCAGAAATGTATGCAAGCAATGCAAGTGAAGCAGAGAACACAAAGAGGGGTCTGTAGAAATAGAAATGAAACATCTGTACTCTGTCAGAAAGTCTGGCACTGATTAAAGGATTTGATAATTACCAGGTCAATTCTAAACTGGTCTGAAACAGCCATTAGTTTGTTATTGGCTAGAAATAAGAGATTTCAATTGGTATGGGTGGAAAGTCATGGGGGAGTTTAAGGCAATGAAACTGCTGGTTAGCTGGCAAAAATGGGATCTGAACATTCATTTATATGACCTGAATTTGCATGTGGCATCTTAGTAAGAGTTGCCAAGAAGGTTGTCATAGACTGGATGAACAATCCACAATTAGACAGCCACATAAAGTGTTTCCTTCAAGGACTGTCAATCAGCTGCCAGAATTGGATCTGAACGTCCATTTATAGAAGAACCTGAATCAGCATGCAGCATCTCAGTAGGCGTTTCCAGGAAGGCTATCAGGGACTGGACGAAAGAAAACACTGGGAGTCCACAATGAAGCTCTGGCATCCAGAGGCTTTCCTTTAAGGTTCCTCTGCAAAAGACGACTAGGAAACTATTTGCAGTCAATAGGAACCAGCTGAGATGGGTGACAGGACTACTTATAGGTCACTACCACCTAGAAGAACACCTTTTTCAAATTAAAACTGGTTAAGAACCTCACTTGCAAAATATGCCAAAACAAAGGTGAAAGAGCTCCACATGTCCAAGTTGACTAAGGCTTCAGCCAACTTAAAGATTTCATCACAGAGACTTCATTTTACAGAATCAAATGCCCCACTAAATAAACTTCTGTACTTCTTTTGAAGTGTGGGTTTCTTAGGGGGCTAACTGGAAGGGACTACATAATAGGTCAATATTACTCCCAGTTAGGGACACTTTTATTCACCCCTTATTTGTTCATTCATTCAGTCATTCATCTTACTGATATAACCAATAGTTGAAAAATACATTGCAAAACGAAAAATAGCTTTGAAGACTGTTGAAACTGTACTTCAGGAAATGTTCTTCACTCTAAGTCATCTGTCTTTGAGTGTACAGAATATTTCTGCCTCCTGAATGAACATAATAAAATAATGTGTTCAAATAAAACTTTCACCATTCTTCAATTAGTAATGAAAATTTAAATTGTTATATTTCTTCAGTTTATACACAGAATGAATGGAACAAGGACTCTGAACTTCAACAAAATATGCAGACTGTGCTTAAGTGATCATAAGACACTTTTGCCCCTCTTTAGTACTGTGGAAAATGTACAAGAAAAGATCCACACTATTTCACCAACAATAGAGGTAAGTCAGAAGATGGCAAGGAACTGTAAGGTAGACTCAATAACCAATGCTTGAAATTCAAGTAAAACATAAGTGGGATGGCTTCTTGGGAGATTTGCGGTAGACAATAAAAGAAGCTGGATGTCTTCTGGCCCTTCTTCACGAACTCTTATTACTGGATAAAAGTGAAAAGGTGAATTTTTGCAAGTGCTTTGTCTATTTCATCATTACTTATATTTTCTTGTGATTACACAGTTTGTTAGCTAACAGATTATTGTTAGGGACAGTGATGCATCTCCAGTAGTCAGCTATGTAAATGTTTTCCACACCATTTAATTTAATCTGATGACTGTGTCATAAGAGAATCACAGTTATATTCCTGTTGGAGAAAATTAATATTAGTCAGAATAGCCAGTATAAAGGGTATATAAAGGATTAAGATGGAAGGCATGCATGCCCATTCACATAACATCTGAGGACCCGCTGTTATGAGCTATCTGCACTGCCTTATCTGACATATTCACAGCTGTTGTGACTAGATGACCAAACTGCATCAGTCCAACTTGGATATAAGGAGACAGTGTACTCTAGATCTGAATTATGTGTATGTAGGTGTATGCTGGAGATGGCCTGCCAGCCCAGGTATGCAAGGAATGTATCAGTCAGGTCAACACATCTTACAAATTCAAGCTGCAGTGTGAGAGGTCAAATGCTACTCTGCGACAACACTTAAGCAACCAGCAGCCACATGATCCACCAGTTCAGGTAATTTTTATATCACTTTCTAGGAAAGAAATTTGAAAGTTAATGTGGATTCTGTTTCTGGATGATGGCACTATATATATATATATATGTAGGCTGTATTGCTGGCATTCCAGAAAGCCTTACTGTCTCCACATTCAGGAAGAAGTGACAACCATTCATTCCTTTAATACACTATAGTACTTGTTGTCAGTGAATGAAAACAGAATAGTCTCCACTGACTTAGAGACCTGAACTGTAAGTACGAAGGTAAGGTAAAAAGGTAAAGTTGTCTCTGTGCTTAACTAATTAAGCACTGGGCCATGAAGCAGTATGGGGAGTGGATGTATAGATCCACATTTTCTTGACCTCTGCACTAGATGGAGCTGAGTGGTCAGCTTCACACCCCGGGGGAAAAGCCCCCTGTACCCAATGGATAAAAAGTTGGGTGGACCCCAGAGCTGGTCTAGACGACATGGACAAGTGAAAATTCTTTTCTGAACACAGTGATGAAGCTTTACATTCCGTGGAAAGACGGTGAATTTTTAACATATGTGAGCAACTACTGCCATTTCAAGGACTTCACTCCCAGGAGTTGGTAAAGTAGTTTAGTTAAACTGAGCAATAAACACTCAAAAAGCATATACATAACTCTCTGAAAAACAAATTTCATTTAAATAGTATGAACAATTCAGTTCGTACCTCTCAAAAAAACGAATAAATCTCCATTGCAAAGACTGGCTGGTTAATATTATTTAGGGAAATAGTTACTGTTATGAGAATTACATGAACCATGATAAATTTAAGGCCAAGATTCACACCCAGTAACTTCCAGATACAAAGAAATAATCCATTGACCACCCCATGGCATTCACTGTTTGCTAAGAATCTGTATATTATGCATATACAGTATAGATTGCTTTTCATGTGTCTGTTTCTCGCTCATTGTGGACAAGCACAGAATTGCATATGTTGGGACTCTTATAACTTAGCAACTGCATATCTGTTTAAGCCACAAATAATGACAAACATAAGCTATTTGCAGTATTAAAGACTAAAACTCTATTTTCAGGTTGTTCTCAAAGAAGAGCCTTCATTGTGTGATGATGACACAGAGTCAGCTAATGAATTGTATCCATCAGCTGGCAACAGGAACCAAGAAAATGTAAGTACAAACACCATACATCCTTCAGTCCATTCATTCATGAACAGTAGTAAAGAGCACTTAGTTTTTTCATCTAGCCACCCATTCACAATTCATAAATACATACCTAAACATTACTACAGTTAATTTTAATACTGTAGTCAAAAAAGAATGTCACAAGATTTTGAGCAAATTACAGATTTAGATGAATACCAAAATATAGTGATCTTTGAATTTACAACTGATTTCACAGAAAGCTTAAGCATTTTTGGTAATAAATTGAAGTGTATATAAAATATGAAATATAATATCAAACAAAATTTGCATTACAATAATTCAAATGTATAATATTCCAATATAAATTGAAGTTGTAATCATGTGAAATTTTTGCCCCTCATAGCTTCAGTGTATTTGTGAATTATTTTCAAAATGCATGTCTATTTCCCAAACCCCTGATTTGCACACATTTCTTTCTTTGATTTGTGCTGTTTGTTCAAAATGCACATGATATCCTTACACTTAGACCCAAGGCTATGCCATAGCTTAGGCAGTTAGTCACTGGCTTCCCACCATGGTGGCCCGGGTTCAGACTGGGGTCTGGTCATGTGGGATTTGTGGTGGGCACAGTGATGCTTGGGTAAGTTTTCTCCGAGTACTTCGGTTTCCCCAGCCAATCTTCATTCCACCAGTTGCTCCACAATCACCCTCACCTATCATCTGGGGCTGGTACAATAGGCCAGAAGTGGCCGCAGTACAAGTAAGATTGATTGATTGATTGATTGATTTATTTCGTCACTGTAGATCATTGTACATGATATATGACAAGTCAAGTTAATTCTGAATATTAACAATTTGATATATAAGTAGATTAAAATTACAATAGTTACAATTTTTTACTGCTGATTACAATTTTGAATTAGTTAGATATTCTTATTTGTGGAGAATTTGATGGAATGAACATTGGCAGGGGAAACCGAAGTACTCGGAGGAAACCTGCCCCAGCGCCATTTTGTCCATCACAAATCCCACTTGCTCAGATCACAGTGGTGGGAAGCCGGCGACTAATCGCTTAAGCTATG